ACCACTCCCCACACTAGCTTACCTCAGGGCCCCTGCAGCCAGTCAACCATACCTTGACACCTGCCTTGCCCCCCTGCACCGACATGCTACTCAGCTTCTTGCTCTGTTACAGCCATGAGCAAGCAGAAGTGGGCTGGCGGCCAAGTGGGCTCCTGCTGCACATGCCTGCCATTGCTGCCACCACAAAGTAGGTGTCATGGAATGGATGGCCTGGCTGCAGGGGCCCTGAGGTAAACAGGTGCAGGGTGTGTGAGGCAGGTCACCTCCCCTTGTGGCCGCAGCACTGCGAGCAACCAGATGAAATTGGTGGCCAGGTGGCCGCACAGGTTCTTAAGTAGGGCTTATTTTGGAGGTAGGACTTATATTAGGCACATGCATTTAAAATCATGCTAGGTCTTATTTTCAGGAAAACAGGGTATCTCAATCATGGGTGACCCAAATGATGATGTGTCTGCCCTTTTGTAGTGCTTGGAAGCTGTGGAGATCTGGATGGGGGACAGTAGCTTCAGCTGAACCCTGAAAAGATGGAGTGGCTATGGGTGCATGGAGTCTCAGGATCTGGAATTTATCTCTCACTATCTCAGACAGTCCCAGTGTGCAACTTGGGGGTCCTTCTGGACTCACAACCCCTTCTCAGAGATCAAGTGGCAGTCATGGCTAGGAGGATCTTTGTGGAAATTTGGGTTGTAGCCAGTTGTGCTCTTTCCCGAATCGTGAAACCCAGTCACTCATCTTTTTGTCCTGATCATCTTCCATTTGGATTATTGCAGTGTGTCCTATAAAGCTATCTTTGAAGAGTATGGAGAAGTTGCAGCTGGTACAGAATGCAATGGTATGGAAAGTATTGGCCATCCCTAGGATGGTACATGTAGCACCGCTGTTATGTGAGCTGCATTGGCTGCCAGTTTGCTTTCAAATCCAATTCATGCCAATGTTGGCTATCATCTTTAAGGCCCCCACTATATGTTGATATTTATTTTTGCTTTATACTTTTGTGGAAATTGTAACCAATTACTACATTGTCCATTACAGTACAGGTGGCAACTTCAGGGCATGCTGGGATAGTAATAATGCCAGTCCTATCCAGCTGAAAGTAGTGCAGCTGGTGATGACAAACTGAACTCAGTGAACTATACCTATTCATGCTGCTTTTATCCAGCACTTTACATCCCATGTCACTCATCCAACTTAATCTAGAAACAGTTTATGCCATGGTCATTTGGGCTGTGCAAAACCATTCATAAGGCTGCTTTATGAAGCAGATAAAGTGCTCCTCTGGACATGTTATTTAAAACTTAGAACCTCTGTCTCATAAAGACTTGGCAAAATCGTTTTGAGAGGCTTTGCGCATTGTCCAGATATATGTGAATACACAGATGGCAAAGAGAAGTTCCCATAGTAGCTGCTCCAAACCTTTGAGATAATGTGGCTGCTGAACATTTTGATGCTTAGGAGTTACTTTAGATGGGAAAAATTCTCCCTCAAAGGTTGTGCACACCTGTAATGACAGATCTCTGTTGCTATATTGACTAGGATGAGAAAAAGTTGGGAAAAAATCATGCCCTAAGCGCAGACCACAGAACAGCTTAATGGCAGAATTTGGAACAGCTGGAGTTTTGCTTTATTCTGATTTTAATGCTAAATTCTTAGAACTTAAGTATTTTGTTTCAAGTTTGTTGAAACATCTGTAGATCCATGCAGATTTCTGGCAGGTAACTGATAACTAGATATTGTTGTCTTCAAAAAACTAAGAAGATTTGGCTGAAATGCAAACTTTCTTGGAGAGATATCAAGGGATAAGAGAAAAAAGTAATATATTTAAAACCAATTGAATACTTTTTTGATACCACTGGAAGTGTAGCTTACTCCTGTATATTTGTATGTTTCTTGCTGAGAACTGCCATGCCATATTAAGGTCGCTATTGTAAATAGGTAGAAATGTATCTTTTCCATCAGCATGTGAGGTACTTGCAAAAAGAGTCATCTAAAACAAGATGGGTGGCAAATTGAATGAATGAATAAATGAGAGGCCCCACTTTTGATAAGGCCATTCTGGACAATGTTATTATGTCTTGAACAAGAAGCATCTGAGTAGCAGTAAACTGGTTTGCTATGCTGCTGTATCAAAAAATAAAACAAATTCATAATGAAATTAATAAATTTTCTATAATTTCTTTTCATATCCCATTTCACTTTATAAGCTTACTAAAGATGTATTTGGTAAACCTAGCTATCTAATAATGCTTATTATTTGAGTGCTGTTACATTTCAAGATGATCAATGGGTCCATCGCTTGGCACATCTATTTAAATGCTGGTAACAAATGGAATAATGACTATGATTATGTATGTATGTATGTATGTATGTATGTATGTATGTATGTATGTAATGAAATAAAGACAGTACAGGTTGCTTAGAATCAATTAGGTCAATTAGGGAGAGTGACTACAGTTTTGGATAAAGTTGCACCTGAATTTCTCCATGTCCACAGTTCCCATAGCTCTTCATGATATGTGAAAGAGCTGAGGGAACGAAAAAGACCCAAGAGATGGTAGAAAGCTGCTGGCAAAAGACAAGAGTTAAATATGATTGAAGAGCTGCTAGAACTGCTATTAGAGCCTACCTTGTTATGTAAAAGGGCAAAATGTAACTGTGTCTCCACCGATAGTGACTCAATGAATGTTTTAGATGACTGAGTTCCTCCTTAGAAGAAGTTCTACTAAGATCGGGAGAGGGAGGATGTCTCTCTAAGAATATGCTGTCCATCTAGCAAATAAAGTTGCTCATATTTGGTCTAGATTGAACTTCGGTCTTGAGGCAGAACCAATGGAGGTTATGGGAGCTAAGGCTCCCGTACTTTGAGAGTAGTTTGATCCTGTTGGACCTAAGGAAATGGACAAACTGTTGCAATTGCTGGCTCGGCCACACCTGTGCTCTTCCTGGCTGGTTAAGGCTGCCTGCATGATTGGGTCTGGTTAGTGATTAATTCTTTCTTGAGGGAGAAAATGGTCTTTCTGGCTCTTAAGGAGGCCTTGGTAAACCCTCTCCTCAAGAAACTATCACTTGACTTTATCAGGATCACCCAGCCAGCTTTCATGCCTAAGGTGGGACTAGAATTCTAGCCTGATGCCTTAATCAGTATATCAGACTGATTCTGAAGATCCATGTTGTAAGGAATGGAACATTATTCTGTATATTAAATATTTCAGCTTTCTTGAATTCTACAAATAATCTAGATCTGTGATGGCGAACCTATGGCATGTGTGCCATATTTACTGGCACGAAAGCCATAAGCTCTGGTGCACTGGCCAGCTGATTCTTGGCCTTCCGGAGGGCCGGGGAGGTCATTTTCACCCTCCCCAGGCTTCAGAAAAGCCCCCAGAGCCTGGGGAGGGTGAAAACTCCCCCCCCCCCCGGGAGATCACATATGTATGTGTAGGTGGGTGGGGCTCATTGAATTCTGGGTGTGGGCACGCCTTTACCATCACTTATGTAGATAATGGTTTGGATTTTTAATTTGATGAATCGTGTTGAATACTTTTGGTGTAGTTCTTTAAAATCTATTTCAGCTAACCATCAAAAAATTGCCATAAAGATAATCTATACGTGGTGTAGTGAGTGGTAAACAGATTGGCACATATAACCTTCTTAATGACCAATTAAGTCTTTTTGGTTGAACGTTTTGAAAGCATTAGGAAAGTCAGCATTCTTTCATCATGAATCCTTTTGATTTAATATCCATATTTCCTCAGTCAGATAGATTAATGTTTTATTAAAAATCAATAATTATGGTTTTTGCTAGGTTTGCCATTACATTACAGTAGAAAACCAAAGTGTACACAGAGCCAGTAATATTTCAAAGCATACAAATAGTTCTGAGAAATGAATACCGAATAACAAAATCCCTGTTTAAGAGTTCCTTTCATGTATTCAACTCAACATGAAAGGAACAGGAACACCTAGCAAAGAAGGAAATAAATGTTAACTAACAAAAGTTTCTTGGAAAGAAAGCTGGCTTTGGTTTCACTTTGAACAGGACAAGCATAAGAGTAATCAAACTCCAGTCCAAAGTTCAGAATCAGGTTTGTCAGCCAGTCAAAAATCAGAGTTCTACAAGCACTGTTCACAGGAATGCCACACCCTAAAGCAGGAAATCGGACAGTTGCTTCCAGTGAAGAAGCATGGCTCCAGGCTGCCTTTTAAATCATGCTGCTGCTAGCTGCCTTTAATCAAGAGAGCTACTCCTTTACTTGGCAAGGAGCTTCATTGAATATCTTTGATTTGTTCAATGGATACAAGGGATTGGAGGTCTTATCTTATCATCTGACTGCTGCAGCTGTTCTGATGGTGCCTGTGTTAGATCAATCTGAAGTGATTCCTGACTTGGTTTCTCCTGAGACTGACATTCCACTTGGATAGTTGGAACAGGTTTGTTTTTTTTGGGGGGGGGGAGCAAAATTTGGAACCTGAGCCATGATGCTAAGTCTCATCAGGCTCACATGAGAATTTGCCACTTGAAATATTGGGTAAAGACTAATGTTAGAGATCCAAGCAGTCCTCCCAACAATTTTACCTCCTCCAGGGAAAAGTATATCCTTGGATCGTCCTCCTTTCAGTCAATACCTGCTAATGATTGGATCAGGAAAAAAAATATGGTAGAGATCAAAAGAGCCTTTGATTTGGATCTGCAGAAAGACCGATCCAAGGATGTAATCATTGTTATGAAAGCTGCTGCAGTAGCTCTTTTTGGTTTTCCACCATTCTCTCTCTTACACATAAGAAGTGTTTCCACTGACAATCTTGAAGTGCTTTACCTTCAAACATTTTGGAAGGGAAGTTGAGCAGCATGCTATACTTAGAGCACCATTATTCAGGCATGGACATGGCTATAAAAGATAGGTCTGCCTCTTTTTCTATTCTTCCTTGTAGACATATTCTGCACTTCGTGCTTTTAATTAATATATTTACCAAATACGCAGAGTAGCCTGAAATGAAATTTGATGCTTTTTGCCAAGATTTCTATGAAAGTTGCTCAGTTATGATTGCATCTGAATTCACCTCATGTTTAGATACTTTGGGATTTTTTTATGCCATGTGTGAATATTTAACATTTATCATTAATATCTGGCCCTCTAACTTGCTAATTTCTCATATCATTGTATTGTAAACCCTACTTGCTTCATCTTTGACTGTAAACTGTTTTATTAAAACAAAAAAAGCCAAAAAGCCCTCTTCCCCTCAATATTAGCCCTCAGTTTCATCCTTTCATATTGAAGATAATAATCATCCAGACCCATGTTGACCAAGCTGACTTTGAACTGCTTTCTGTTGTTCAAAATGGCAGATTATTCTAGATTTGAATAAGTTATTTGCTATTTTGGCTACATGTGTGTATGCAAGTATGTACTTTTATTAGAGGGGAGGGGACAGAAAGCCAGTTTGTTATATAAATATTTCTTCAAAAATGTAATACTTGCTGTACAAATTCATTTTAGGAACATCTTCCATCTGTGTCTGATTTATAATGAGTGCCAAATCTGCTATCAATAAAGAGATTTTTGCACCACATGATGAAAGGATGCTGGGTGCAGTCCAAGTAAAAAGGAGAACGAAGAAAAAGATTCCTTTCCTGGCAACTGGGGGTCAGGGTGAATACTTAACCTACATTTGCTTGTCAGGTATGCTAAATCATTTTGAAATCCTGCTATCCTTTCAGTTTGTTTGTAAAAGTTGATTGATGTTGTATGTGGATAAAAATAATGTGCCATCATGAATTTTAATTAGACAATTAGATGAAAAATCAGAGCATAAACTTTCAGTATTCCTATATTTAAATCACAAAGGGAAGGTATGGGCAGAGTTTTGTCAGTACAGATAGAGTCAGTAATATACTTATATAGACTTTCAAATATTTCTCAATATTTGACCATAGTCTTCACAAGATCTATTCTTTTAGGCATTAATGTGGCCCCCAAAGCCCTGGGACCAGAGTGGTTAAAGTGTAGTATTGCAAGCAAACTCTGCCCACTGTCTGGAGTTCAATGCTGACCGGGCTCAAGGTTGACTCAGCCTTCCATCCTTCCAAGGTTGGTTAAATGAGGATCCAGATTGTTGAGGGGCAATATGCTACAAAGCACTATGAGCCCGTTTATAAGGCCAAATGCCATTGCTAATGTGTCAGTGAAAGAATGGACCTGGATTTTTGGTATTGCATTGAGAAATTTCTGTATGTATATTTCCTATGTTCTTAAAGGAGACATTATCATACATGCTTGTAGATCAATCAAGAATTTTGGGTGCGCAAATAGACAAAAAAAATTAGTTCCATGTATAGACAGCACAGGTATTCCTCAACCTACGACCATAATTGAGCCCAAAATTTCGGTCATAAGTCATGATGGTAATAAAGCAGGCATCTCTTTCGTGGCAGTTGTTAAGCAAATGCTATTAAGTGAACCCATTGTTTGCTATGGGACATGTTTTGCTGGAAACTGGAAGTAAGGACCAGTTTCTGGCAAAAATTATTTTGTAAATTGTGATCATGTGACCACAGGGCACTGCGAACACATCAAAAGGAATTGAATGTGTAGATTGTATGCTAGGTAAATGCAAAGGACCCTATGCAGTGTGCTGTTGAGATTTCCAGATTATAAATGGTAAATTCCAACATTGTATTGTTGTTTGTCTGTGTTAGTGTGCAACATTTAAGCAACCAGACCATTACAGTTCCAGAATATATTTACTCTATTGTGTTGGTTTTGTTGGCTTGTTGAACTTTAGTGTGTTTGTGTTGGGCATGGTTTCTACATGGTCCTATTTCTTGTTGATAACTGGACTTTTCTAGGTAGATTTGCAAGTTAAGAATAGCTGACAATAGATGACATCACCTTTAGAAAAAGCAAAGAAAGAATATTGCTTATCCCAACTCAAACACGTGCAGGCAGATTTCTTGGTAGAGATTTTTCCATATATTTTTAAGCTATGAAGTTATTGAATTGTCCATATCAAGGATTTTTTCCTGCCTTAAAGATAGAATTTTCTCCTCTGCCCCCTTTGCTGTTGTTGAAATATATGTGTATTGCTCATCAACCTGTAAAACTATAATGGTAAAAGATTATCCTCTACTTTTCTACACCAGTAATATTAAAATTGTAACATTTATATCTAAGCATACATTTAGGCAGTTAATAGCATTTTATGTATTTGATGCTCTGATGAATATCACTTCATTCCATTGCATCAGTGCTTACTTTGCTTGTCAAATTGGTAGTTTAAGCCTCGTTGCTTTTACCTAATCAATTTGTATTTCATCTTTCAAAAGCTTGGGGCTGCTGAAAGTTTTCTTTTGGATGAACTTGGCTACCAAAGCAAAACAAAATCAAAGTTACCTTATTTACTTGCATACCTGTCAACTTGACATCGGTGTACCAGGCAAGTCCTCATATTATTTTTTAGCACTACTTTTGGAAACTCTCGGAGATGGTTGCTTCAATTAAAAAGAGCCAATATGAGTGATCTGCAGACAAATCATGCAGAACCAACTTTTATCTTCTTCAGATTGATGTAATATATCAAGGGAATGACATAGAAAGTGTAACTGCATCTCAGAAAAGTCTTTGAGAAAGTGTCTTATGATATCACCCTTAGCAAAAAAAACATCAACAACATGCTGGATCCTAGATACTGTATCTAACCTACAAGGTATGATGATAGTCTTCAGCTATCTAAAGGGCAGTCATATAGAAATGATTCTCTATTGTCCTGGAGGGCAGGACCAGAATCAGTGGGTTATAACTACAAGAAGGGTCAGATTAAAGGTCTAAAGGAACTTCTTGATTGTATGAATTGTTAGCCAGTGGAATTGACTTCTGGACAGACTGGGGTTAATTCTCTTTTGCTGAAGATATTCAAACAGAAACTACATGGTCATTTGTTAGATATACTCTGGTAAATCCTATACTGATTGTGGAGCTGAAACAACAGTAAGGTCATTTCCAGATCTATGATTCTTTGTTGAAATGTGCTCTGCTTTGAGAACTCTGGCTCTTGACTTATTTCTCACCCAGCCTATATTATGATCTTTTTTTAAAATGACACTTTATTTTTATAAGCTGCGTAGACTCGCTTGACGAGAAAAGAAATGCCTTAAATGTAAAAATTGTCATAGCATGCTAATTCTTTCAAATTGTATAAATTCATAGATTGTGCACACCAAGTTCTAAGGACAGAGATTAACCCAAAAAAGAACAACTTGCCAATGGTCTCTGTATTTAATATGTATTTTTTCCACAAAAAAATATAGTGGTGCAATCAGCTCCACAAATCCTTTTACTTTATTTTATAGTGCTTCAAATCTTTCCCAGTTACAAAATACTTTGAATGACATACAGTAACAACAAACAGAAACTCAAAAACATAATAACAAATAAGGGAGTCAGAATAACCATAGAAACAAAAACAGTAAATATAAAAGCTCAATAAAAACCAAGATACAGTAGATAGCCACAGTCAGTCAGCAAGGACTGAAACTACTTTTAAATAAAATTGTTTCAATGTGTTTCTGGAATTGCAACAAAGTGTGAGCTTGTACTTTCTTCTGGAAAGAACGGGGTGTTATACAGAAGGCTTGCCATTTCATTCATGCTCTGGGACCTTAACAATTAGAGGGAATTTTCAGCAGATGTGCTCTCTCAATGGTCAGACTAGACATGCCAATTCAATTCTGACAAGGCATTGCTTGTTGTATCCTGGTGCTGTTCTGTTTAGGGCAGAATGTGATTCTTTATTTGACAGGGCTGTCATGCTCATGATCTTGTCGCCATATTTTGTATTAGCTGCAGCTTCTAGGTTGTCTCCAAGACAAGTTGCAAAGGGCCAGTTCAGTAGAATTGCTGAATTAGGCTGGAGGGGGATTGCTTGTCCTAATCAGTTTTGGTGACCTTCCAATATTTTAGTTGTAGTTTTTCTAACGAAAAGTAAACAGTAGTGGGATCAAAGGAGGAGATTTTATGATCAAGGAGAAAAAAGTATATGAGGAGGAAGACAAATTACTAAGCCATTTGATTATGGCTGATTCTAGTAAAAGATTGGAAAACTCTGGATCTGCAATTGTGAAATCTTATTGCTTCTAGGAAAGAAATTTGGAAAACCACAGGAGACTAAAACTTTACTTTTTGAGTTATACGTTCATATTCTGCAGTTGAGCATTTGACTTATAAAGATTTTTATAAATTAGTTTGGACGGAGTTTTAAAGTGAGGATTCCTGCTTTAGAAATCCCCACTACACTCTGAAAAAAAAATCTTTACTTTTTGTTTCGCCATCCTGAAATAGGACAGTGCCCACAATTATGTATTTATAATTGTTAGTTATCAAATCAGTGGAATAGCTTGTTTAATGTAAAAACGTAGCTGTTTCTCACCTATTAATTGGTTTCAATCATTACATGAGTCATGAAAAACTAGCAGTATTCTATTCATGCTGTGAGCCATATCTAGTTCAATAGAGGTGGACTTAAGAACAGGAGAAAGAGACTGGCTGCTGCTTGGAGGCATGTCAATCAAAACCTGTAGAACTTGCCAAAACATTTTATGTCATCATCATCCACTCTCACAGCTGATTAGCAGCAGGATATTCATTCACTGTTTAAGTATGCCTATTCTTAATTTGTCCTTACTGTGAAATGTAATTTTCTACTTCCCATTTGTCATGCTTGTTAGAGGAAAGGAAATCTACATCTACGAAAACCAAGATCATTCAGGGAATGGTTTTTCTTGGGACACTCTAGGGAAGTGAAAGTTCGACTTTGGGGTGGGGGGAGGACAAAGAGAAAATTCATGAGAATATCATCAATAATTTAAGAAACAAACGGATGGTTGTCAGAACAATTGAATCCAGAGTTTTCAGTCAAGGCACAAAGACTCTCATTATAACGTTTGGACACATTTTGGAAAGATCTAGCTCTGTGGAGAAGTCTACGATGCTGAGAAAACCTGCAAAAATGAGCAGGAAGGTGGATATTGGGCAGGAAGGTGGATGGACTTGATTACAACAGCCATGAGTTGACTTGAAAGACCTGAAGGGCTGGATTTACGATAGATCATCCTGGAAATGTTCTATTATGTGGCTGCTAAGAGTCAGCACTGACTTGATAGCACATAATCAATCTAAAGAAAATGAAATTCAAGTTTCAGTTTTGGGAGAATGCTGAGTTAGTCATATTAAAGTCCTTTTTTATAAGCTAGTTCAGATAAGTATGAAGCAAATACCTACAAATAATTCTTGTCAATGAATTTGGCCACATCCCTTGCCTTGGAAGAAAGCAAAGTTCTATCCACTACACCTGAAACATATGTTTTTCAAGGCAGTACAGAGGCTATTTTATTTGTAGGCCCTGTATAAATTGAACTTTATATAGTTATTTCTTGTGAGCTAAAATTTAATAGCCCTTTCTTTAATATTCAACAACTAGGATGGATCCCAATTTGGATCCTAGAAATAGCATATATGGCTCTGACTTTATGGGGTAACCTTGTTTTATAATATCAGACTCACGTCAATTGTGATGACCATTTCATCAGAGTTTTGGGAAAAGCCTTCCCAGGATTGTTTAAAAATCCATTTCTCTTGAAAACTTGCATTTGCTTTTACATCCATTTTCTTTATAAAGGGGAACAATA